AGCTTGTAAGGCACCAAACTTGAGAATCAAAAGCTATGCAAACGTAAGATTGAAAATAAGCTAAGGGAGGGAGTTTATTTAAAGGAGCTTATGGACTGTTATTCTCCTTTTATTTTTCTCTCTGATAATGAAAAAATATCTCCAATGCTAAGACTGTAAGTCGTCAAAAATCTTCATCGACGTGCCACCATTGGAAAGATCCTAAGGACTTAGCTTGCACATCTTCGTCTTCTTCGTACTTAGATGATACAGTCGACAGTGAAGAGTGGCTACCGTCCTCTCTGTCCAAGCTACTATAATCATCGAGGTCGAGATCACTGAGAAGATTACTGGAGGCAAGAGAATGAGTCTCTTGGCACATTTTGAGGATGAGAATCTTGATTTTGTTGACGATACTCCCGAAGGCAGCGACGACAGCGAGAATCACAACACTCTATTTGCAAAAATTGTAGACTGCAGAAACAGATTGAATACCTGCAAGAAAATTAGGGGGGAGAGAGAGAAGAGAGGGGAAGTGAAACCGAAGCAGGAGGATAATGATCGAAATAATAAAAAGTTTTTTTGTATGTCTTATAGTTTTGGACTTTCTTATGTTTGTTATGATTTACAATAATTTTTTTATAATTTTTCAAATGTTTTAAAATTTAACTTAATCATTCAATTTCACTTCTTCATATTAAATTAATTTAAATTTATTGTATTATGTAAATTTATTTTTTTATCATGTTTCATTTTATATTTACAATATATCTTTTATGATTTCTCTAAAGCTTCAACATTTAATTCACTCATTAAGTTTCATTTCTTCATATTAAATTAATTTAAATTTATTGCATTATGTAAATTTATTTTTTTGATCAAGTTTCATTATTTATTAAAACTCATACCCATTTTGGTAATTTTACAAACAAACTTATTTTTACTTAATCATAATCCAAACAACTTTTTACCAATATTACTTTTACAAACGAACTTTTTTAAACTCCAATCCAAACACAATTCAACTTATTCAATTTAACTTTTATCTAATCTTACTTTTCTAAAAGTCAAATTGAAAATAAGCTACTTTTTTTTAGTGTCAATCCAAACGGATCCTAAGTCAATTTTTTAAGGGGCATTTCATCATTAATTATTTTCAAACCTGGTCATTTTCTCACTTTCGTTCGCTTACTTTTCCAATCATCCATTTTACAACAAAAACCCAAAAATATTTAAAAGTCATTGCACTTTACATAATTTCAATCAAGTAGATAGATTTCAAAGATAAGATTTCAGTTTTACCCTTTTCAATGTTTTTATCATTCAAGTTACTTAAGAGTTAATGAGACTCATTGAAGTGAACACGACTCATATTGCATCACTATAGTTTTTTTTTTATATACAATTTTATTTTGATACCCTAAAGATAATGGGAAAAATGGCAATTAGGTCCCACTCAAGGGAATTAAATACAAAAAGGTCCTTTGAAATCATGAAATTATTTTAAAGTCCCAAAAAATTTTTTGCATTAAATTTTATTTGTTTACTTTTATCCTCTTTTTTTTAAGTTCGTATTGACAACTGAAAGAGTAGTGGTTGACAACTCAGAGTGCAAGGATTGACAACTATCATGGCTGTTTTGACAGCTTATGGTGTGATATGCTGAGAAAATGTGTTGTCAAACCAACCGCGATAATTGTCAATCCTTGCACCCTGAGTTGTCAACCACCACTCTTTCAGTTGTCAATACAATTTTTTTTTAAAAAAGAAAGGTAATTTGATAATTAAACAAATAAAATTTATTGCAAAAAGGTCTCTTGGGACTTCAGAATAATTTCATGATTTCAAGGGATCTTTTTGTATTTAATTTCCTTGAGTGGGACCTCATTGCAATTCTCCCAAGATAATGGCTTCCATCATGAAGAGTAGAAATTTGAAGAATTGCCACTAGTTTGAAGTGTTATCACATGGGGTAATTGTGCTTATAGACTCTCAAAAGGATTCCTTGAACTTTGTGATTAAGGCTGGAAATTTTCAGATTATTACACATGATGCTGTGGCCCGAATTTTTAGAGTGTATGTTCATACTTGGAAAATTCCACATTGAAGGGTAATGTTCGGTTCTTGCAAGAACTATGTCAGAATGTTCAAATGTTAAAAAGGGTTAATTAGTATAAGTATTACTGATTGCACGATGATGAAAGCTTTATGGGTTCAAATTTCTGAGGCTTAAGACTGCCAAGGAACGTACTGTTTGATGCTTCTATAAGTTTTATATTTTCTATCAGTGACAATTTTGATATACTACAAAAGAGATTGTTAGCAGTAACATTTTTGTTGTTACTGAAAATTGGCCCCAAAAAAAAAAAGGAAAAAGCCTCACTGTCGGTGGACACCACCTCACCATCAGCACCGCCATGCCACTTGAATTCTCGATGCCAGATTCAAACTTGTGACTACCTTTTACATTCAATCTTCTTGACATTAAGTTCGAATAAATCTGCGGATTATTATTCTAAAGCTAAATATTTATTATTAAACTATACTTTTATTATCAAAATATATATATTTTCAACAGTAACATCTAAACTTATAACTAAAAATATACTTTTTTAAGTTTTTGACTGTGACAAAAAATATTGTCGCTAAAAATCTGTCTTTTAATGGTAACTTTAAAGGGTTGTCGTTGAATGGGAGACTTTTGATGGTGATTTTAAGAAATCACTGCTGAAAATTAAATTTTTAATTATGACTAATAAGTTATCACTAGAGGCCATACTTTTAGTAGTGACTAAAAAAGTCTCTATTAAAGGATATACTTTTAGTAGCAATTTTTTTAGAGTTATCATTAAAAGTCAACTTTTAACCACATTTTTAGTGCCCATTGAAAATTATGAGCAAAAGCCAAAATTTTTTTTTTAAGTGGTTGTTATGTAATACATGATATATTGATTATCTCTAAGCAAAATTTGTTAATATCAATAAAGTTGGCATCTAACAAAGGACTTTCAGCTCAAAAAAAAAACAAAGGACTTATCTTTTTGTTGTAATTTTATACACGCCTCTCCACGTTTTTTGGAGTCCGCATCAAAACCGGAGAAGTTTTTTTTCACATCAGTTAAACATTTTAAAGTATATATCTTTTTCGGATAAAGTATATATGTAGTCCTTTAAATTTATATTAAATTTTAGTTTAGTCCCTTAAACAATTGATTTCACTAACGAAAAATGCTAAGTGATTTCAGCTTAATATAAGATCTCGTTTGATTTTTATTTTAATTCTAAATATAAGATTCCAATTTACTTTGTTTTTCCTGTTTATTTATTTTTTCTCAAGATAGTTCTTATAATAATAATAGTTATGGCCAATAAACTTGATTAACAAATATATTTTAGGAAAAACAATACCTATTTATTATAAATAACTTATTTTCTTAATCTACTCAAATTAGTCAACTAGCTCTTATATTTAAGATTGGAGGTAGTAACATATTAAGTTTTAATTTAAAATATTTAAATTAAAAATTATTTAATATAAAACCTAATTAAAAGTACTGTCTAACATGGTTCTATAGGATTTACTTTTATATTTTCATAAAAATAATAATTTAAAATTTCTTTTAATTGTATCTTTTTAATTTTTTATTATCATACTTTTAAATTATGATACTGGATTTAATATCAAAATTATTTTTTATGCACAATATTAACACTAATCCTTAAAATAATTATAATTTTTGAAGTGTTTTAATATAAACTTTTAACATTAATTATATAACTTATTCAACAATAAATTAAACTATGTCAAGAAACTTCAACATAGCAAATTAATATTTAAATTCCTATTAGGAGAGGTGCATATATTTAATACATGATAATATCTTGCACATGATTGCTTCCAATAAGAGGACGCTTATGTCTAGCCAGAAAAAAAAAGTAAGGAAAAAATTGTTTATTTCATAATTATTAAACATCATATAAATTGTTGATAAAAATAAGATTTATTTTAAATAATTTTTAACATATTTTAAATTAAAAATTAATATGTTAGCATTTAAATATGAGGTCAAAATTTTCCATTAGTGAGGTTGATAATGTTAAGTTTATAGGACTAATATATACTTTACAAACTTAAATCAAAATTTAATATAAATTTAAAAGATTAAACGTATACTTTTAGCATTTTTTTTCCCTCTTCATCAATGACTGGATCTCATGGAAAGAGAGGTCAAATTATTGAAGCTTGGGAGCACAAAGGTAAGAGAAATCGTTTGGCAGAAACCCATTTGCACAAGTTAGCTAGAACATATGAAAAAATAGATACAAAATCTTTACCCTGGTGAAGATATTCTAGAGGGTGATATTGCTCTCATCTTTACTGGAAAGTATAATTGATGATCTTAAGTTGGAAGCAAGATTAATCATCTCTAATTCAAGGTAGGACCTACATTTCTAGAGGGTGATATTGGAGGTGGTTTTAGTTATAAATTGACTTTAGTTCTTCTGGCCATTGCTGAATTACTAGGTATCATTCATAGCCTCAATTTATGTTGGACTAGAGGTTACATGATCCTTTCAAGAATGTTATTAATGATAGTAGATTGTTAATTAACAGAACTAGCAGGTCATAGTTTTACATGTACCTAGGAAAGATATTATTGAAGGAAATTTTTAGCTCTTTGATCACTCTCCCCCTCTTATTCAACAGGTGGAGGTTGATGAAAGATGGGTTCTTGATCTCTTGTATTTTCTTGTTTTGAGAATTGTTGTTCGTTTCATTTATTTAAAAAAAAAAAGAAGAAGTGGAAGCACCGTGAAATTACTTGGACAAAGAGAGCAGGAGGAAGAACAGAGAACTGAAAGGAATTGTGAAACCAAGGGTTCAGATTAGTTGGCAAGATGGAACGGCTCCGATTTGTTTCAAGGGGCAAAACGGTGTGCTTTGGGTTAGTGGGGAGGCAGTCGGGGGAATGGCCATGGGAGAGAAGAGGTGAGACCGGAGGGAAGTGTGGGAACTGGGAACTGGGAGAGTGAAGCCTTGAAGCAAGCCGATTCCCATGCTTTAAAACCCCAACAGGAGGTTGATTTCCCTCCTGAAGCTCCACAATCAGACACACCCTATTTCAAATTCCGAAAAATGTCAACTTTAACACCAGACTTACTCATTAAGAATCGATTTCTGGGATTCTTAATCTGGCAATCGATTCCCTCTACCGTAGTCTATTTCTTCCTTAAAGCCTTCATTTCAACTATCGCCAATTCCATTGCTGACACTGATACCTCCAGCTTGCACAGTACAAGCAGCTCCTTATTTTGGACTTTCGTACCTTCATTCAGGGGCTTCATCTCGTTCATCACATTCCACTTTTCCCTGCTTCTTTTCTCCTCTACACTCTCCGTCATCGCTTCTCCACAGCCTGACCGACCCGCCTCCCTGTTTGAGCTTGCAACTGGTCTTATCCGCCTCCTCTATGTTCCCGGAGGCGGGGGTGGCGGGTCTCCGGTGGTTGATTCCGAAGATTTTCGACATCGGGCGAAGGTTTCTTTGAGCTTTGTGTTGTTTGTGGCAGCGGCAGCAGCTTCGGGTTTCACAGCATCGGTGTCGCTTTGTGGTGTGAGAGCAATCAGAGACCATGATGATGGGTTTTGGGTGATTGGAAGACTGGGTTTAAGGGGCTTCTTGGTGGGTTTGCTTTTTGGGTTGCATTATGTTTATAAGCGTCGGTGGGTTTTGGATTTTCCTATTATTCAGGCAAGTCTATGACTTTTACTATGTCTTAAACTTTTCTTTCGTGCTATTTAAAGTTTCTGAGTAGTCTTTCTGGCCTGTTCTAAATGCGTTGGTGGTTATTAATTTGATGTTGTCTCTTGCTTGAGGAGGAATTGATAAAACTACTTAACGACATGCCCATTGTGTATCATCCATGGCTCTTAACCGAGATGGATATTGCAAATTTTATACACGGGAAGTTCATTTCTTCATAAAAACACCAAAAACGTGTACGGAGGTGACATGTTACTGGGTTGTTGGAGATATTTCAGTTGTAACCCTGTTATTATCATGCGACCAAGATATATCTGGGTTCTGAAAGGGAGGGCAATTGGATGTTCTAGGATGCGAGTCAAACTTACAGACTTGCTCTGATGGCAGGTCATCATTATACTAGCCACTGGGTGTTTTTCACTGTTTCCCCAACGAGTTTGCGCTATGAAGCTCTACATATTTATTATTTTGTCTGAAACTACACCGTTTTCCATATATTTTGGAATTGAAATGTACATTTGGTGTATGCAAATTTTGATTTATTACCTTTTCTTCTCAATAATGATTACAACTGATTCCAATTGCTTGCATGAGCAGCGTCCTCCTTACTTCAGCTTCAAAATGGGACTTCCTTCAGCTGTTAGACGAGCTCTGAAGCTTTCCTGTGTGGCGTTCGTATTTTCAACTACTTTGGTTCAGTTTCTTCCGCATCCACTGAAGAGCAGCATCACCATGCGAAGATCCTTCATGGAGCAGATCATCTGTTCCATTGGGAGTTTTGCTGTCTTTATCTGCTGGGAATTGACTCATCATTTGCACCGGGTTGGTTTTCTAATATACTTAACCGGGTTGAACTTTCATTGCTCTTAATCAAGTGTTGCATGGTGTTGACAGCTGCATTGCACATCATCTTTGGATCCTTGTTTCTTATGTTCAACATCCTTGCAGTTGTTAGTTCTCAGTTGAGTTTTGACGATCTTAATCACATATTCTGCCATTCGTATGCTAATCTAAAATGGAACAGTGTTATGATATATTGTCAAATGTTCATATACATGTACGTGCATTTTTTCATATGTTTTCATGTTTGTTCCTTAGACAACTGTTGTTGTCATGCTGTAGTTATGCTGTGCTTGTTCAAATATGCATGTTGGTTGTCTCTTGTAAGTTGACAATGCGTGATTATTGAAAAGAAAGTTTTATGCAAGATGTTTTATTTCACAATCATTAGGTTTAATTGAGTACTTCAGTATTTATCATGGCAAGATGGCATGTAAATGCGAAAATGTCATGCGCTTTATAAATATCAGCATAGACAAATAGGGCTACGTATACTTCTTTGGTCATGAGCCCTGTATCTATGATACATTGTGCTAAGAATAGCAACATATAGAATAATGAACTCCCTAGAAGTTTACATCTTTTTCTCCTAAAACCCATGCACCAAACATTTGGAGGGCAAGAACCTACTGATAGCATTTTCTCTGTTGACTGAATATGACATGTAGGTTTTACATACTAAAAGGTTCATGTTTGCACCCCCAAAAGGATCAGCAGCAGCAGAAACAAATCCAAGCGAGTATCTCCTTGTAGCCTTGGAGGAGAGTAATCCAACATCTCTTTTACGATACCTTGCATATCTTGATCTTTGTATGGTTTGTGAGAACAATGTTGACACTTGGCGGCGAGCTGCATTTTTTGAAGAAACTGGTGAGACTTACAAAAGAATAATAGCAGTGTGTTTGAGGCCTCTGGAGCAGCTAGCCTCAAGGCTAGGTGAAGGCTTGGGAAATTCTGTTGACAAACCTGCTCAATTATCAAATCAGTTATTGTCTCCAACAGACTCACGACTAGATACGAAGTACTTAGAGCCACTAACTAACTTCAAGGTATGAGTATACTTTTGATCCTTTTATACTGTTTTCAATTAATTAATAGACTTTACTATTATTGCTTTGAGAATGTTGTAGGGATTAAAGCCTTTAAACCAATTTTGTACTTCTATCCTTGCGTAAATATCTTAAACCGATGGCGATGATGGACAAATTTGTCAGGTCTATCCATGGGCTGGAAATTCTGATTTCAAAGTTAGTTCTTTAGAACTGTGCATCTGCTATTCAAGTTCCAAGTTTTGGCTGCATATCTGGAAATAGCTTTCATTCAGTGTGTAAATGGGGAATTAAAAATGATGAAATGATTTCAATTTCTTATTGGTTCCAGTTTGTCTCTGTTTAATGTAGAATGCTATAAAGTGTATCCATCTATAAGGATGACATGACCAGGGTTTATGTTCACTTAGAAATGCCTATTCTTGATTCTTCTATAGCTTGTTATTTTATGAATGCGCATGAAGTTAAATGAAGAAAGAAAAGCAAAACATTGAATGGGTTTCTTGAATGACAGCTTACTACAAGCTTCTGTTCATCCTTGCTTCATCTTTTTTGTGCGCGTGAACGTGCATGTGCTTGTGTCTTTTTATTTGACTGAAATTTAGCAGAGGGAGTCAGATATGCGCAGCACACATGCTAATAACTCTTCATTCTGACACAAGAAGAAATCAGTTCTTTCTTATTGAATTACCTTATTTATTGGTGATTGGGTTAAGGGTGTTGACCTGACGTCTTTAAGTCACTGTCTGCTTTCTCATATCGTATCATCTGATTGCGGTTCTTGTATGATGACTCTGTTCACTTTTTGCTTTGAGTAATTGCTTGCACGTTGCATTGAAATTTGATTATGGTAGATCTGCTTTTCACATGTGAATCAAGATATAAAAGTTTTGAACTTTCAAATTCTGCTATAATTTCTTGCTCCCCTAGCAGAATTTGGACAGTAAGGATTCTGTTTCAAAACCAACTGAGGTGAATGATGGGGTTTGTCCCAGGAAATTCACCCCCCTTCTCCAGAAGACCTTATTTTCTGTGGCTTTTCAGCTTGATTAGACAATACACTATTGTAGACTTCAAAATCAAACGGTCATTTCAGTACTCCAGCAATAGGCAGACAGTTGTGAATTTGGAATTCAGGCCAAGGAGTATTCAAGGTGCTGAATATATTTGTTAGCAGGCGGTAGTTTTGATGGTCATTGGCTGACTAGAGACCATAGAAATGAAGGGAAATGGAAGAAAGACAGTGAACCTCAGTAAAGGTTTTTAGGTGCTTGTTGTTAGGTTCTGTAATGAAAAATATATGAAGGAATTTTATGGGCGAGTTAACATCTGTGAACAAAAAACCCCACTATTATGACTTAGCATTTGACATATTAAAAGTTGTTGGTTTGCTTGTGTGCAGCTTTATGCGTGGTGTTCGAAGACCGTGGCTTCACTGACTGCCTGCTCACACAGAGAGGACAAGTTTGGAGCTGCTCAGCTTTCAGGAAGTAATGCAGCTGTCGTGTCGACATTGCTATCCTGCCTTCTTGCTGTTGAAACATTCATGGGAAAGAAGACAAACCTACAATCTCCCAATCAGCTGTCAGGACCTGCCAGTATCCGGTGGCTACCGGCAAATAGTGGAAGGGCTGATGTTGCAACTGTCAAAAGAAGAAGTGGACCTGTAAATTCAAAAGCTTATGCTGTTGCTGATGTCCTCAAGACCTCTATCTATCAAATTGTCTCCACATTCCATGATGAGATGTTGGCTAGTGCTAAAGCAGGTCTTCTTGAGAAGGACTGGATCACAAGTGGGAAACCCATTTTCGGTACTCGGGAGATCCTTATACAAAAGTTGCGCTTGTTTCTTGATTTCCGAGCTACCTAACTGCAAATTTCTGGCTTTGATTGCAACTTCCCTTGTTGACCTATTGGTGGGATATCCTTTGAGCTATCAACATGCTTTACCGACATAATAGTACACACAGGTTTGTTGCCTAGTGGGAGGAAGGGGGGGGGGGGTGGGGGGAATCAATTTTGCTGTCTGAATATTGAGATGGATATTAATTGCTTTCTGTGTTCTTGAATGCAATTGATTTGCCAGTTGAATTCACAGTGACGAGATTTGGTAAGAAGTGATCTTTCTTTGGTTGACATAAATATTGAGTATGGGTTTAATTTTCAATAGGTTTATTTTGCTCTTTATCCTTTTCTTCTTGTTTTAACGTTCCTTGTTACAGGAGAGCAAGTTTTTTATGGGGAAGAATTCACTTGGATTATCTAAACTAATTGGTTAATTAATAGGAAATGCCGGAACTGTCTCACATTGAATAATTGGAATTGGGTTGGATTTTTGTTTTGAACGATTGGAATATTAAAATTCTTTTTTCCCCATAATGCTCTTGGGGTGCTAAATGTTAGGGGTGGCAGGGGGGTTGATTTTGCTTAATCTACTTTATTTTATTTATATATATATACATATAATTTTTTCCTAAATTACTTGACTTATAAATATATGTAAAATATTGTGTGCGTTGGCAAATATATATATATATATATATATATATATTGTGTTTAAGTGATTTTGTGTTATATGAATTATACAAGATTTGTCTCGTAAAATATAAAAGCTTTTAAATTAGTCAGCTTAGTTAAATAGGTGTTATAAGGCCCCGAGGAATATTAATAATTACTACCTTCTGTTTTTGATATGACATTTAATTTAGAATTAATATAATTTTTAGTCTCTCAAATTTATTCTCATTTTAATTTGAATTCCTCAAATTTCAAACATAGGTTTTGGTCCCTCTAGGAGCAAAATAGTCTAGGCTTTTATTGTATTATAGGACAGATGTTTTAAATGAAAAGAAATTTGAGGGACCAAAATCAGTGGTTTAAAATTTGAGAGATCAAAACCAAAATAAAAACAAACTTGAAAGACAAAAATTATATTAACCCTTTAATTTATTTCAATTTGAATTACAAATTACATCTTGTATTCAAGATCAGAGATAGTATAATGCTCTTATAATACTCTTTCGATCCTTAATATAAGATCTATTTAACTAATTTGATTAGATTAAAGGAGTGACGTAAGTTAGTTAACTATAAGAAATATGACATGTTTTTTCTAAAATATCATAATCATTTTTTTAATATTTTTTCTTTTTTTATTTGATTATGATTGAACGAGTATCTATAGGAATAATTTAAAAAAATTGATAAATTTAAGAAATAGGTCTTATATTTAAAATTAAAATTAACTTAATAATTATGTTTTATATTAAGGACTGGAGGAGTAGATATTTTCATTTGCTATGTTGCAAAAAAAAAATTCATGTGAAATACCGCAGAAAATGACAATTATAATGAAAAACGTATGAATATTATATATAATATAATTAACTAATTGGCGTTTGTTTGGGGGATTGAAGGCCTTTTATCAAAGGGCATTACATAGAGATTGGTAAATGAAAAACATTATTTATGGCTTGTGGTATAATTGAATATTACTCAAGCACATGGGGATTAATGTTAATGATGGATAATCAACCCGGCGCTTCAAAGAGAGCATTCTTTTTTTTTTTTTTTACGTTAAAGATGACCAATAGTTCATCTAACTTGAATAATTCAAATTTAGTGTGGAATAAAAAAAACTCCAGTCGTTAATTTTTTCATACAGTTGAAATGTTGGCATGGTTATATGATTTGATTTCTATATGACTTGTGAAAGGCTAGCCTTTGCAGAAAATTACTGATGCACAAGGGGTGAAAGCACAAAAGACATGAACTTTTGTTTATGACATTCCAATGAGGCCTATCCTTACATTGCTAATACGGAAGGTGAAGAAAACTTGTATCTTCTTAACAAGCTTCAAAGTAAGAGTGTGCAAGTTTTCATGTACCATAGCCTGAGCCTGGTGGCCATGCTACTGTATAATATCAAGGTAAAATTACACAAGAGAAAAAAAAAATCTGATTTTGTCAATGGTTAGGTGTTGTAGTAGTGACTCACCCGCCACACTTAGATGAAGTCCTAGGATCAAGCTTGACATTGATATATTTGTGTGCATTCATGTGTTTAATTGTATTAAATAAAAGAAAAGAAGCCAGACTTTGACTCTAATCCATGATTAAATATTGAAAAGACATATTGATGTAAAGCTTATAAATTATTTTGCCGGATTAGTCAGTTACATTTAACGTGGATGGAATTTCTTTCTGAAATTGATATATTAATGGGATAATTCAAAGTCACATCTACAAAGTTGAACAAATAATGAAAATAATCAAGGTTAAATGAATGATACTATATTTTTCTTCAATAAAGGTTCAGTTACAGTAGTATCTGGAAAAGCTTACTACCAATTTCTTCGGTTATCGTGTCCAAGGCCGCAGCTCATACATCAGACAATTATTATTTTTAAAATAGTGCAGGTTTAACAGAGTTTATCAATTTCACTAGCAAGCATGTACCTAGAACGACGTGTGGAAATAGTGAGAGAGGGAGTCTGAATCTTAACCAAGCAAATGCATATGCGATAGCAGGCTTATGCGTCAGTAATATAGAAAGACTTTCTATCTGTCAAATTCAAGCTCAAGCAAATTTTTAAAAACATATTACTGTTTTTTTGTTTTTCAAAACAACCAAATAAAAACAAGGCTTTTTTTTTTTCCAGAAGTGAAAAATTGTTTTCAAAACAAGAATTCAAACAAGCCTCCTATCTTCTTGACAAACTTCAATCTAAGAATATCAATATATTGTACAAGACGCGAGACAATACTGTTTGAATGCAAGTCTTAGACTTCCATAGCCTGAGCCTGGTAGCCATGCTGCCAAAGTGAACCTGCACTGTTTCAATTTTACTGCATAATATCAAGGGAAAATTACACAAGCAAACCAAAAGTCAAAACCCAACTATGTCAATGAGGCATAAATTAATTTCCTGACACCCTACGCCTGAGCAATGAATAGATAAAATTGATAAGTCATTACATTTTGAGTGACACTGCTATGTTTGAACCACACAAGCTACAGCGAGCAATAAGCTATATGAAGTAACACAAACATGCTATTTGGCGTGCTGTTGCACCTTCATCCTTGCCCTTTAATTTGGCATCTGTAATAACCAGACTTTGTTGATGGCTAGTTGTCCTAATAGTAACACTACCCGTTACTCTTGGATGAGGTCTCAGGCTCCAACCTAGTATTGACGTGTTTGTATGCCTTTGTGTGTTTAATTGTATTAAATTAAAAAAAAAAAAGGAGCCAAACTTTGACTCTAATACTCATGCGAAGCTATGGGCAGCAATCGCTGGTAGATTTCCAGCACAAGCAAATGGATCTGGCAAAGGCATGATGTGTCATGTTTCTTGGACAATTCTGGAGCCTTCATGCGTCACTTTTAAAGTGGCCTCGTTCAGCGGGTTCATAGAAGATTATACTTGTCATGAAAATTTCCGTTTTGCAGGCTTATGTGTCAGTAATATTGAAAGGCTTTTTACCTGTCAAGTTCAAGCTCAAGCAAATAACAGTGGGCATGGGTCAAAACTCAAAAGGCATTTTGTAGAAGCCTGGACATTGGAAATGGTCAAATGGATGTTAATTTGGTCAAGCATGAGTCAAAAAGCATTTTGCAAATAATTTTGTGATTTCTTCAAATTCTGCGCCCTCCAGATGCAAAACATATTGATATCTGCAAAGGATTTAAGTTATATATGCACAGAGGAAGTTGCATACATCCATTTGGATAGTTGCAAAAAATTTTCTTCAATCATGGGATTGGGAGCAACTGGGAAAATAAACATTGATGTATCAACACAAGTGACATGTATTTTAATGTGACGGTTTTTTTTTGGTCTGTTTGTTTGTTTGTTTCACATGGAGGACAACAATAAAATAAAATAAGTTAATGGTGTTTATACATTTGATAATTAGAGCCATGAATTACCTTTACTCTATATTATACACTTTATTATTCTTGGCCAAAATGATTTTAGTAGATTGTTAAATGTCATTAATGTGGTTCATTTGTGTTTTCCAGCCTAATGCCGACAACGGCAACCGACCGCTTCATCGGCTTCATCATACTTGTACCCAGGAAAGCTGCATTTATTGGAATTGGAGTTACAAAAACTAGGTGAGCTTGATATCCCCCCAAAAAAAAAAAGAAATGAACTAACTTAATTAATTTTCTTAATTTATTCAAATTAGTCAATTAGTTCTTATATTAAGAAACAAAGATAGTATATTATATCAATGAATCAAATATTAAAAAATTTACTCTTTTGATTAAGCTTTTTTTAAAAATAAAATAGAATTTTTTTCCCAGCAAAGTCTCTGTTAGAAACCCAAAATTTGCACATGGAAACATTAATTAATCCATGCTTCTAGTGTTCATTCTTGAGCTTATGATCAACTCGGAGAGATTTAAACTTTGTAGACTTACTTGTTAGTTCTAATTGGTTGTTATACCAGGATTTCTGTGTCTACTTCAGCAAACCTCAAACATCAGAATTTAATAATTATCATTCACTTTAAGAAAATAGCAAGAAATCAACTTTTTGCATCCATAGCTGATACAATAATATAATATTTTAATTGATTAAAATTTCCATCCATAGCTGATGATACGATAATTAATATTTTAATTGATTAAAATTTATATTATTAATAATTTGGAACATGATTTTTTTTGGTATACTAACAAAAAGTTATATTCTTCCGGTCCTAAACATAAGACCCTTGTTGCAGTGTAACCGCAGGAGTATTATTCTTTTGATGTTGTCTATTATGTTGCCCTCCAGAATTATGTGCTGAACTGCTTTACTTGTTATGTTGAAAATGTTTAAAGCTTTGGATGGGAAAAGATGTAAGATGAGGTTTGAATTTGTGTTCGTATACAGACGATGATGATGAGTCATGCGATGAGGAGCAATAAAGAAAAAGAGCAGATGGAAGAAGTAGAAAGCATTATTATGCATATGCAGAAGAATGTTGTTAGTTAGAGATTTGTTGTTGGATTGCAAAACTTCGTGATTTCAAATTCTCAAGTATCGAGACCTTTATCAGCTCAAAAGAAGAAGAAGAAGAAGAAGAAGAAGAAGAATATTGCGACCTTTAAAGTGTATTTGGTAAAAATGGGGATTATTTGTGAGTGCTATGATTCAACGTGAATATGATGTATTGGTGTTGCATTGTACCTCTTTTTCAATTAAGGTCATGTCTGGATAGAGGAGAAAAATGGGGGGGGGGGGGGAAGAGAAGGGATACTATGAAGTAAAACTCTCAAAAATAGTTTTAAAAAAAATTGGTGAAGGTGCATTCGACATCTCAAAATATTTTTCTGGTACATCCAGCATCCTAAAATATTTTGTGGTGCATCACGCACCTAAAGCATTTTGTTAAGTGTATCCAGCATCTTGAAGTATTTTTTTTTTGTACATCTAACACTTTAATTATTCTTCTAGGTGTGTTCAGTTTAAATTATTCTTCTAGGTGTGTTCAGTAACCTAAAGTATTTTTTGATACATCGAGCATTAAGGCAAAAAAAAAAAAAAACCTTCATATGCAAGCTTTACTTGAAATATACTTGAGGGTACAGAATGCACTACAAAATATTTTAAGGTGTGTAAAAATAGTTCAAGAAGTTGAATGCATCATAACCCTAAAAAAATTATTTTAAGGAGTTTTCCGTCTTCCGATGTTATGGGTATTTGGGATAACCCCATAATCATTTTTAAAAGCATTTTTCCCAAAGACAAACTCCTCTACATATTTACTTCGTATGCCATAAAAGTATTTCTGAAACCATAGTTTTTTTTTTACCCAAACACCCTCTAATGTTGATTCCACTTTTGCTTCAATCTCAAATCAAATTTAGTCTGTAACATATACAAGAAAAGGCACATTCTCACACATAAGCCTTTGCTTCCTTTTTTCTGTTGTCAATCATCCTTCTCACTTCACCTTCCTTTCCCTGATCTAGTTTTTATTGTAACCTTCTCGTTTTATAAAAAATATTAGAGATAACTTCATTACATAAGATTAAAGCCCCATTTGACAGAGCAGTAAAAATCCCTAAAATCATATTTCACGTAAACCGAACAAAACCCCTCATATACTTGTTCGTATTTATAAATCACTATTGAAAATAGCTTATAACTACTTATAAGTTGTTCCAAAAGACCCTAAATAAGATAGTTTAGAAAAATCAATACATATTTCTTACAATTAACCAATTTAACTAATTTTTTAATCTCTTTAAATTAATTATATGGCTCTTATATTAAAAACCAGAAGTAATATAATATTACATTAATGGTCATATGAGATTGGTGGTTGAAACTATTGTTAATATCAACGTTCTTGAGCAAAGATGCAAATGCAGATGGAGCTTTTGTTGATAGTTGTCGGTGGGTATACAGCTGTTCAATTAGCAGAAAAGGAAGAACTTCAGTTTCTTGCAGTATGCAACATAAGACCTAGCTTTTCAGCCTGTTGACATTGCTTTCAAATGTTTCCACAAAAGGAAAATGATCCAATTGACTGTATTTGAAACATCATAGATAAGTCACTCAAAACAAAAACGATTTCACATGACAAAGAAGGTTAGCAACCTTATGCCTTGCCAAGATTGTCTCAAGGATGTGCTCTGTCATAATCTTCCCACCTCTGACGTAATTCTGCAGTTAAACTAAACATACTGAATCTTTACATGTTCAAGTTTATTCATTGAATAAATGAAGCCTGCCAAGTTGCAGTCTTAATGCTGTGATTGCCGTGTTGTCCCTCCTCTGCCCACAAGCAAATGAACGCGTGTGGAGCCATTTTTTTACTTTCTGGCTTCCAGCCAGCTCTAATACTCAGTGTGCTGCCTAGCATCTCTTCTCTCCCCTACAGGTAAGAATCCTCTTTGGGTCATTCATTATTTAGTTATGAAGCAAACAAGGAACTTTAGTATGTAAAACCTACATATCACATTCCAAGTATTTAGTGCATCGTTAGTACAGTGTATAGAGGGTTCATGACCAAAGAAGTACATGTAGCCCTATTTGTCCATGTAGATATTTATAACGCATATGCCATTTTCGCATTTTTCACGTCATCTTGCTATGATAACTACAGAAGTACTCAATTAAAGCTAATACTTGTGAAATAAAACATGCTGCATAAAATTTTCTTTTCAATAATCATGCATTGTCAAATTACAAGAGACATCCAACATGCACATTTGAACAAGCAAAGCATGACTGAAGCATGACAACAACGGTTAGTATGAAAAAATGCACGTACATATATGTGATAAACAGTCGTACTTTTATATTAGCATATGCATGGCAGAACATGAAATTAAGGTTGTCAAAGCCCAACTGTAAACTAACAAGTCTAAGTACGTTGAACACAAGAAACAAGTAGTCAGAGATTGCAGCTGTCAACATCAAGCAACGCTTGATTAAGAGCAGTGAAAGTTCAACCCACTTAAGCATGTTAGAAAACCAACCCGGTCCAAATGATCAGTTAATTCCTAGCAGATAAAGACAGCAAAACTCTCAACGGAAAAGATAATCTGCTCCATGAAGAACCTTCGCATTGTGATGCCACCCTTCAATGGATGTGGAATAAAATCAACCAAAGTAGTTGAAAATAAGAAAATCATACAAGAAAGCTTCAAAGCTCGTTTAAGAGCTTAAGGAAGTCCCATTTTGAAGCTGAAGTAAGGAGGACGTTACTCATGCTAGCAATTGGAATAAGTTGTTATGATTACTGAGAAGAAAAGGGAATAAATCAAAATTTGCATACACCAAATAAGACTCCAAAATATATGGGAAGCGTTACAGTTTTAGACCAAACCATTAATATGTAGAGCTTGATAGGGCAAACTCATTAAGGAAATAGTGAAAAAGACCCTAGTATACTGCTTGGAAAATGGAGAACTTATTGGTGTGGATGCAGAGCATAGTGGTGGTTGCTCGAACATAGAACAAACTAGAAAATCAAACAACAAAGCCCCATACTATGGGTAGAGCAGGTAGAGATCAAAATAATATTCAGATCAGGCAAGAAAAAGTACGACTTTAAAAGCAAAGAAAGAAAGATGCCGACAGCATCGATAGCTTATTAAACATATTTCACTTCAATACAATGGAATTAATGATGACCAATATTGACCTCCCATCAGAACAAGTCTGAAAGTTTGATTCACATCCACGAACATCCCATTGCCCTCCCTTTTAGAACCCAAATATATCTAGGTCGCATGATAATAACATAGTTATCAATGATGCATCTGCAGCAACCCATTAACCTGTTACTTCCTTGAAGCTTTTAGTGTTCGATGAAGAAATAAACTTCCCATGTTTAAAATTTGCAATATCCATCTTGGTTAAGAGCCATGGATGATAACACAAAAGGCATGTCATGAAGTAGTTTTACCAATTCCTTCTCAAGCAAGAGATAACACTAAATTAATGATTACTAATGCATTCAGAACAGGCCAGGAAGATTACCTAGAAAACTTAAATAGCACAAAACAAATGTTTATGGCATAGTAAAAGTCGAAGACTTACCTGAATAAGAGGAAACTCCAAAACCCACCAACACCTCCAATCACCCAAAACCATCTTCAGATATTGGAATAATTTCTCACAGAAAGCACAAAGCTTCAATCTGCCTATACCCATCACTCTTATCCAAGAATAATATCACTTCGTACAACACAACAAGGGCTTAGAAGAACTTATAGTTTTGCTTGTTAGAAAAACTGAATTCAGCATAAGAAAGTCTTCACACATCTGGACTTTACACCCGAGGTGAGGAGCAAGTCAAGAATCTATTCCCGAGAAAGGAAATGCAATCCATTCAGCAAAATCTTGTATGTCTTATCATTCATTGAGATGTCTCTATTCCTCCATTCATCAAGTAATTCAAAAGCCTCATTGCCTCTCCCTTCTCGACATAACCCTTCCAATACAGTCTTGTAAGTCAATTGATCAGGGGACCTAGAATTACCCAACATATCAAACACAATCTCAATAGCATCCTCAAACCTCCTCTCCAAAGCAAGACTACAAATGATTATCACATAAGTACTGGTGCTTGGCACCAAACACTTGCCCCTCATCTCCTTAAAAAACCCTAAGCCTTGATTCACCCTCCCTTTCTCACACAGACCTTTTGCAATATAACCATAAGTATAAGCATTAGGCTCACAGCCATATAAACCCATTTCATGGAAAACCCTGATGGCCTCATCAACTTCCAAACACTTTGCATATGCTTTTATAATCATATTCAACACAAAAGTGTCAGGAATAACCCCGGAAGCCTTCATCTGCTTGGTCATTGATCTAACAGCATGTAAATACACATAACACACATTCAATTTATTAAACCTCCTGAGAAGTGAATTGAACAACAAGGAGTAAGTTTCAAGTGTGGGCTTACAATCCTCAGACTTCAACATTTTCTTATACACATCAAAAGCACGGTTAAAAAGGAACTTCCGACCACAACAGAATCTAATAATAGAGTTGTATAGAGGAACACTAGCATCACAAGCACCAGCAATTACTTCCTCAACTAGGGTTTCTGTGTGTCGATACCGCCTACCTGAAATGAGTTGCTTAATCATTGTAAGATATGTGACATTGTTGTGCTTATACCCACGTTGCTGGGCAGTCCATCGGAAGATGTCCAGCGCAAGATCAGGGTCAGATTGAGCACGCAAGGCTTCATCAACATCAAATGGAGTGAACCCAGGTTTGAGCTTTTGTACCCAAGTCTCAAATTGCTTCTCCAATGGTGTTCTAGTACGAGAGCTAGGGTTTGTGAATTGGGGTTGAAGGTTTTGATCTTGGTGGGGTGAGGAGGACATTGAGCGAGCATAGAGGAACGAGAGAGCTAGAGAACAAGAGGGTTGAGTGTGTAGGGGACGAAGGGAAGAAGAAAACGAGAGAATGTAGATGCTTCTGGAAATGGAAAGAAAAAAACATTTCGAAGGTGCAGGCATAGTTTGTTCCAAAGAAGGAAGCAACAAGATTGGCCAAAGCTGGTAGTTTGCAATGCAGAAATCTACTTTGAACTAATGAAACCGATGGACTGGGAAATCTACAGGAAGGTAGTACTAGAAACTTAAATGCCCTTCCTCACCCCCCATCCAAAATTCTCTGAGAGCATCATTTCCTCTGTCCCTTGAAGCTTCTCCCTCTGTCTGTCATCTCCGATTGCATCATTTGTCTGTTATGGAAAAATGTAAATAATAAAAGTTAGTTAAGACTGTTATATTAAAAGCTGTAGGGTAGGTAAGAACAGAAGATTATAAATAGAAGCTCTAAGGACCTATTATAATCAGACTATTGTTGTCGGCGGTTAAGGTGAAGAGTATGCTCAGTTTTTCTCATATCTCTCCGATCCCCTCTCTGAATTCTTCTTTCCATGTTCTCTCTACCTTTCTCATTCTTTCTATTGCCTTTTTTGAAAATACCACAACATTGTCCCACGCAGAAAGAAGGAAACTCAAAACTCCATTGGCCAAGCAGGCGGTGATGGAGAATTTTATATGCTATTGTATCCAGATAAAACAGGACATTCTTATTCCTAATGAAGAAAAGAGCCAGCACAATAAGTTTCATCATGAAGTGATTCATGGAAGAATAGGGTGGATGCATGAAGTTCGTACCAAAGGTGATCTTCCATCATAGCCAGTTTTGTTGGGATCATTTAATCCAATGTTTCAAAAGATAGAAATCCCCTCATATGCAGCATAATTAATCTTCGTAGACATTTATCCTCAGTTCATGATAATATGAAAGTGAATAACAAAACGTACATGTGACCAAAGCCTTTTATGCTCATAACCAAAGCCATCAACTGGATTGATAACATCATAACAAGTAAATGAATATGACATCTTAATTAGCTAAAGCCAGAAGCTCATCACAGAGGTCTTGCTTTCGGCAAAGGTAATTCTTTGTGCTGCATAAGCCAATCAATATGGCAACCGATGCCTTTTTTTATAACAGCAATCACAGAGGAGCATCTAATACCATATCAGCCAACCACAAACTTAGAACAATGAGTTTTCCAGCACTTTGTCAGAAGGATGCGGAGGGGCATAAAGGAGAAGGCAGAGATTGAAGTGCCATTGACCTCCACATACATTCGGTGATAAATAACACATGCAATTCATGTCCTTCCATGATCTCATAATACATATGCGTTCAGGTTAAGAATCAAATTTGCGCATGGTCTTACCCACACAGCTGCCTTATTACAGAACCAGTATGAGAATAAAATTAAGAAAGAACGAATATACTTATTGCTTATCTGAATAAATTTAACAAATAGGGTGTGTTTGGTTTAACCAAGGGGAGGGGAGGGAAGAGATTTTAATGGAGGTGAGAGAAAGGGAGAGAAGGGGACAGGAGGGGTTTTAATGAATGAGAAGGAAGAGGGGTTTTTTACCTTGTTTGGTTCAAGAAGGGAGGAGAGGGGAGAGGTTTTGATATGGACAACTTTGCCCTTATTTTATTTTTATACAACAAAATGTTTTAATATGCTTATTAATTTTATTAATTGGTCAAAATTTCAAAAACTTGCTACCATACTCATATATCATAAATTATTTTTATATGCATTTTAAATGATGATTTTATTAATAATATAATATCTCGTTACTTTTAATATGTTTTTAAAAATCTTTTACCTCTCTAAAATATGACAAAATTAGAAAATTAAGTTGGATGAAAAGAGACAAGACCCCAACCGCAACACAAGATCATCCATACATTAGGAAATAATAGTTAAGCCTCCATTTTAGACAATAATGATCAAAACAACGTGGGAAATGGAGTGCCACAAGATTACGAACTCGAAGAAAATTCTCTATTGGTAAGTTGTACATTAAAAATACAAAAATTGTGGGTCACTGAAAGTATAAGTTTTGCAAGAAGTTACATAATCAATGGGCAAACAACCCCCTTCAGAAACCTTAATTGCAAGGAGAATGCTATGATATGAACTTCAGAGCCATAGGCCAATCCCTTCTAAGTTAATACTTTAAACAACAAGAATATGATGAGGGTTATAAACTGTGTACATAAGGTTGCATATCAAACTTCCCCAAGGTTGAGAGACAAAAGTCACAAGCAATCAGTTTAATGAAAATGAAGATCACCATAGGACTGGTAATACAAATCAATCAATCTATGTCCCATGTGATCATGAAGTCAAACATGCAGCACCTAAGGCAATTAGATTGGGACCTCAATATTGCTAATAATACAACAGCATCCTTGATTTGAACCTTCAAACATACCATACAGCTTCACAGTACGGTCTCAAAAATGATTGAGCATAAATATCAAATTAGACAAGGAACAAAGTAGACCAAATAGAAAGCCACAAGATTCCAACGCAAAAGCAATCACTTTGGATGGTCCCCCTCGAACAGGGAAGTTGTATTTACCAAAGGCCGTATCTACATAGGCAGAATCAACATTCATCATATATACTATATTGCATTCCTCATAGCCGCAGATCTCCGGGTTGGCTCATTATGGAATGAATACTACTATATGGAACTCAATCAAGGTTGTCTTAAACAAAAAGACATCTCAATTTTCAACTTAGTCTTCTTTAAAGTGCATATCGATATTCCCAACCTATGTATTGCATTTATAAGCTTCAGCTTTTTGGTTTCGTTTAGTCAGACTTCAGCTTCTAATGTATGTAATTACTTCGACGTCTCTTGGTTTATCCTATACTGCAAGTGAGAAAATTTTAAGTTCGACTAACTGCGAGAGAAACTAGAAACAAAGAAGAAACGGGAAATCTGAAGCAAAGAAGAAAAGGAATAAAACCAGATAGTTGAGACATGCATGAGCAAGAACAAGGATGAAGAACATAAGAATCGATATGATCTAGGAGAGATATTCACCTGACGACAATGAAGGTGGAAAGAGGAAGAGAGGCGACGGCGGCCGCAGGACCAGGTGGCGTCGACGACAAGCGGCGGAGTAGAGGCGACGGAGCTCACCTGGGTCGAGGTTTCGAGGACGACTAGACCAGGTGCGTACGCGACGATCGAATACGACGGTTCAGGCGACAGCGGTGGAGCATTGGCGGCAGCGATGACTGGAGAAAGCTAAACGCGTGAAGGAGCGGCCCAGGGTGTTTTTGGGCGGCCCCGGGGAGTGGGGTAAAATTGGAATCTTAATTTTTTTGGTGAGGATGCGCAATTTGTCTAGATCCCCGAACAAACATATTTGACTCAGCACGAGTCTTGGGGTATTTTCAGATTAGCAGTGACAGAAGTTATTTTTTTCAATCCGATTTTTACAAAACTTAGATTAGATAAAAATCAAATAATATAATGTGATTTATATTTTGATTAACTTTTATAAAAAAATCAGTTTGAAAAACTGAAACTTATTTAGATAATTAACAGAAAAATAAGTTTGAATGTAAAATGAGTAAAAAAGACATGAACATTATTAAATAATAATGTAATAATTTTAAAAAAAATTAAAATTATAAGGGTAAAGGTGCATTTTTAGTCCTAATCTTATTTCTAAGTGCACCCAATATTTTTATATTTTTAGTCGTGTAATTTTACTGATGATCTTCTTTTTTTTTGTATATAATTTTACCTATGAAAATTTTTTAATGTAATTTTGCCAGTGATTTTTTTTCTAGCATCTAATTTGGTGATCTATTCTTATGACCTTATTTTAAAAGTTATTTATTCTGATAGTCTTATTTTCTCTCTCTGCGGTGGGTGATGTGAAATGGTAAAACTAATGGATTTTAGATTTTGAGATACTGTGATTTTTGCATCACAAGTATATTTGATGTATCGTGAATCCAAATATTGATTTAAGTCTCATCGTGCTTTTTTCTCCTTGGACGTGCAGTGCCACCTTCAGAACACTCTACCAAACACAAGCTAAATAACTTTTAAAATAAGACCATAAGAATAAATCACCAAATCGGATGCTAAAAAAAAAACAATCACAAGCAAAATTTCATTAAAAAAATTTCATAGGTAAAATTATATACAAAAAAAAATGATCATGAGTAAAATTACAACACTAAAAATATAAAAATATTGGTGCACCTAAAAATAAGATTAGGACTAAAAATACACCTTTACCATTATAATTTTAATATTTTTTTTAAAATTATCACATTATTATTTAATAATATTCATGTCTCTTTTACTTATTTTATATTTAAACTTATTTTTCTATTAATTATCCAAACAAGTCTCAATTTTTCAAACTGATTTTTTTATAAAAGTCAATCTAAATATAAATCACATTATACTATCTGACTTTTATCTAAGAAATAGATTGTGAACTTGCAACTCAATCAGAGTCTGATAATAATAATCATGAACGACATGGTGACAATGATGAGGCTGTTCAAGGACAGCTGATTAGAGATACTATAGCAAATGAGATGTGGATTGATTATCAAAATAGGCTGATGAGACGTGATGGCTATGTACCCTAATTAATTTAAAGTTTGTGCTTTGACAAACTTGCTATTTTTAGTTTATTTAAAGTTTTATATTTAATGTTTTTTAAGCATGCTTTAACGAACTTGCTGCTTGTATTGTAGTAGTTTTAAAGTTACACATTTATTAATATATATATATCGTATTTAGAGTTTTAGACTTGTTGCTTTTAAGTTTTATGAATTGTAATAACTTATATTTCTCGTATTGTTTTGTTGCTTTTGTAATAGAATGCCAAAAAAATCAAACAACAATAAGCAATGTTTGAATTGGACAAGAGCTATGGATGACTACCTTGTTGATGCTTTCATGGAATAGTATAATTGTGGCAACAAAGTAAATGACACTTTCACAACCACTGTGTATGAGAATATTGTGAAAGAGATGAGTGTTTTGCTTAATATTGAATTAGACAAAGAGAAGATTAAGAATAGGTGGAAAACATTAAAAAAAAAAAACTTCTCTAAAATTTATGATATTTTTAAAAATAGATTAAGTGGGTTCGCTTAGAACTCATCAATCCAATTATGGGAGGCAGAAGATTAAGTTTGAGATCAACTTATTAAGGTTAGTTTACTTTAACATTTGTTGTGGAGCACTCTAATTAACATCTAAGTCTATAATTTATTCATTAATATTAACTACTGGTTGAATTTTATCCTTTGTAGTCAAAGCCTAAAACTGCAAATTGGAGATATATTCCTTTTCCCAACTATGATAAGATGGTGACTTTGTATGGAAATGACAAAGCATCAGGGGAGGGAACTCATATTACAGGTGAAATGCGAAAGAGACTTCACTCAATCAATGAGGATGATTTTATTGATACATTCAGCAACACTGATAATATTGCTTCCCAACATAATGTCAACATAGAGCATTTTGAAGCACTTGATAATAGTATCAATCAAGATACCTCAATTGGAGTTACAAGTGGTTCATCTAAAAAGAAGCAAAAAGGAAATTCAAATAGAGAAAAAGACTCCGAGTTAGATAGGATAAAAGATGTTATGTCTAAAGTTGCACAAGCTATGAAAGATGGAAATCAAATAATGAGAGATACTGTTAGAAAGCTTTCACAATTTTCAAGCGAACAAGTATGAAATATGATTAAAGAATGTGGCGTCGCAACAATCTATATTGCTAAGATCTATAAAGCTCTCATGACTAATGATGGGCTACTAAAGACATTTGCTGAATGCCCTTTTGTTGGACGGAAGGATTTGGTTATGGAAATTATGAATGACTTAGAAAATTGACTTATGAAATATTTAATTTGGTAATTATTTAGGGACTTTTAATGTTTAGTAATTTTGGTGTCATGAATGACTTAGAAAATATTTAGTCTGCTAAACACTTTGATGATTTTTTATGCTTTTTGATGTTAATAATGCAACTTATTTTTCGGTTTAGTGGAACACATGATATTCATATATGTTTTATTTCTAAATAAATTGATACTTTTTAAAGAATTCATATTTATACCACAAAAATTATGTAATAATATTTGATAATAATGATATAATATTTTTGTCATGATTATTTTTCTTGATATAATATGAAAGTATATATTCTTTATAATATGTATATTTGATAATGATAAAAAAATATTTTGTATGATATGCATATATTTTATGGATATGTAAATATTTTATATATGTGGGGTAGCTTGTTTTTTAATATTCATAAAGTAGAAAATAATAATTTTGATATAAATATTATAATAAAATAATAAAGAAATCTAACTAAAAAAATAAGGACATATTTGTTAACTTAGTTCTCCTCCCTTTCCCTCCTGAACCAAACATGAAACATTCCCTCTCCTCCTTTCCCTCAAACCAAACAGTACTCATAACAGTACTCATAACTTCTCCTCACCTCTACTCCCCTCCTTTTAATTAACCATCCATCCCCTCTCTTCCATTGAACCAAACAAAACCTAAGACCCATGCTGAGTCAAACATGTTTGTTGGGGTATCTAAACAAATTAGGCAACCTTACCAAAAAATAGGAAGATCCCAATTTTACCCCACTCCTCCGGGCCGCCCCAAAAACACCCTGGGCCGCTCCTTCACGCGTTTAGCTTTCTCCAGTCATCGCTGCCGCCATTGCTCCTCCGCTGCCACCTGAGCCGTCGTATTCGATAGTCGCGTACGCACCTGTAGGGATGTTCATCAAGCCCGCTAGCCCGGTATGCCCGCCCGAGCCCGCAAGAAAATGGCCCTGCCCAGCCCGGAAAAAAAATAGCCCAAAGAAAAATGGGCATTTTTGGGCTGGGCATATTATGGGCAGGGCAGGGCTGCGGGCATGGTATGCTGCCCTGCCCATTTGGCCCTGCCCGTGATATATATATTTATAATTCTTTTTTTTGCCAAAAATACTTATAATAGTATATAATATATAATAATATATATTATTCTCCCCTCTTTTATTTGCCATAAATACATTTAGTGGTATGCGTAATTCTTCATTCTTAGTATCTTTTTAATTTTTTTTAATTTGGTTTAGTATCTTTTAGTTTGTTTTTATTGTTGGTTGTCTTACAAAGATGCAAAAGCAAGCTCACTTTAGTGTTATATTAAAAGATATATCAATTTAAGACAAAGCAAAGTTATTGATTTGTTGAATTTATTGTTTATTCAAGTATTTATTTCTTTATAATTGTTATAAGATACCTTTACTTTAACTAAAAAAACTTTCACCAAGGTATCACTATTTGGGCTTGGAAGCCCGCCCTACCCAGCCCGTTATTGCCCAGCCCAAAAATAGTTAGGGCTTCTATGGACAGGGCAGGACAGCGGGCCGCAAAATGCAGCCCGCTCATTTTTCGGGCTGGGCATCGGGCAGGGGGCATGCCCTGCCCAGCCCTGCCCATGAACACCCCTACGCACCTGGTCTAATCGTCCTCGAAACCTCAACCTAGGTGAGCTCCGTCGCCTCTCCTCCTCCGCTTGTCGTCGACGCCACCTGGTCCTGCGGCCGCCGTCGCCTCTCTTCCTCTATCCATCTTCATTGTCGTCAGGTGAGTATCTCTCCTAGATCATATCGATTCTTATGTTCTTCATCCTTGTTCTTGCTCATGCATGTCTCAACTATCTGGTTTTATTCCTTTTCTTCTTTGCTTCAGATTTCCCGTTTCTTCTTTGTTTCTAGTTTCTCTCGCAGTTAGTCGAACTTAAAATTTTCTGACTTGCAATATAGGATAAACCAAGAGGCGTCGAAGTAATTACATACATTAGAAGCTGAAGTCTGAATAAACGAAACCAAAAAGCTGAAGCTTATAAATGCAATACATAGGTTGGGAATATCGATATGCACTTTAAAGAAGACTAAGTTGAAAATTGAGATGTCTTTTTGTTTAAGACAACCTTGATTGAGTTCCATATAGCAGTATTCATTCCATAATGAGCCAACCCGGAGATCTGCGGCTATGAGGAATGCAATATAGTATATATGATGAATGTTGATTCTGCCTATGTAGATACGGCCTTTGGTAAATACAACTTCCCTGTTCGAGGGGGACCATCCAAAGTGATTGCTTTTGCGTTGGAATCTTGTGGCTTTCTATTTGGTCTACTTTGTTCCTTGTCTAATTTGATATTTATGCTCAATCATTTTTGAGACCGTACTGTGAAGCTGTATGGCATGTTTGAGGGTTCAAGTCAAGGATGCTGTTGTATTATTAGCAATATTGAGGTCCCAATCTAATTGCCTTAGGTGCTGCATGTTGGACTTCATGATCACAGGGGACATAGATTGATTGATTTGTATTACCAGTCCTATGGTGAACTTCATTTTTATTAAACTGATTGCTTGTGACTTTTGTCTCTCAACCTTGGGGAAGTTTGATATGCAAACTTATGTACACAGTTTATAACCCTCATCATATTCTTGTTGTTTAAAGTATTAACTTAGAAGGGATTGGCCTATGGCTCTGAAGTTCATATCATAGCATTCTCCTTGCAATTAAGGTTTCTGAAGGGGGTTGTTTGCCCATTGATTATGTAACTTCTTGCAAAACTTATACTTTCAGTGACCCACAATTTTTGTATTTTTAATGTACAACTTACCAATAGAGAATTTTCTTCGAGTTCGTAATCTTGTGGCACTCCATTTCCCACGTTGTTTTGATCATTATTGTCTAAAATGGAGGCTTAACTATTATTTCCTAATGTATGGATGATCTTGTGTTGCGGTTGGGGTCTTGTCTCTTTTCATCCAACTTAATTTTCTAATTTTGTCATATTTTAGAGAGGTAAAAGATTTTTAAAAACATATTAAAAGTAACGAGATATTATATTATTAATAAAATCATCATTTAAAATGCATATAAAAATAATTTATGATATATGAGTATGGTAGCAAGTTTTTGAAATTTTGACCAATTAATAAAATTAATAAGCATATTAAAACATTTTGTTGTATAAAAATAAAATAAGGGCAAAGTTGTCCATATCAAAACCTCTCCCCTCTCCTCCCTTCTTGAACCAAACAAGGTAAAAAACCCCTCTTCCTTCTCATTCATTAAAACCCCTCCTGTCCCCTTCTCTCCCTTTCTCTCACCTCCATTAAAATCTCTTCCCTCCCCTCCCCTTGGTTAAACCAAACACACCCTATTTGTTAAATTTATTCAGATAAGCAATAAGTATATTCGTTCTTTCTTAATTTTATTCTCATACTGGTTCTGTAATAAGGCAGCTGTGTGGGTAAGACCATGCGCAAATTTGATTCTTAACCTGAACGCATATGTATTATGAGATCATGGAAGGACATGAATTGCATGTGTTATTTATCACCGAATGTATGTGGAGGTCAATGGCACTTCAATCTCTGCCTTCTCCTTTATGCCCCTCCGCATCCTTCTGACAAAGTGCTGGAAAACTCATTGTTCTAAGTTTGTGGTTGGCTGATATGGTATTAGATGCTCCTCTGTGATTGCTGTTATAAAAAAAGCATCGGTTGCCATATTGATTGGCTTATGCAGCACAAAGAATTACCTTTGCCGAAAGCAAGACCTCTGTGATGAGCTTCTGGCTTTAGCTAATTAAGATGTCATATTCATTTACTTGTTATGAAGGGTATACTTGGAAACATACTTGGAAGTGTTGGGTGCATCTTAACCCTAAAATTAATGATAACCCCATGTCCCCAGCCTAAGAAAACACAACACAATCACAACACAATCGAGCAAGTGGGGATCCGTTTTTCTTCGTCAGTGAACCAGCATTCCACACTTGCTCTAGCTCCCTGATGAATACCGGCCACTGTTGCCAGCCCTGTGTTATTGTTCTCGACCAAAAATTGAAGGTTCAAACTCTGGGGCTTTGTCTGCTCCTAAAATCCAGTGAGATTGATTTGCTCAATCTGGCTTTGAATGTAGATTTGAACTTGTTCCTCACGTCATCTGTTCCCTGCGTGGTTGTCAACCCTGTGTCTGATGCCGTCGCATCTTTTCTTATGTTTTTTTTAAATTTTTTCATTTTAATTTGTCTGAGTTTGGTCGTGTGATCTTTTGAATATTGATGCTTTTGAATAAGGACTGGGCTTACTTTTTTCCCTAACTTTGATTTTGAGCTTTTGCTTCCTTGGTATGTAATCGGCTATTATCGTTCTTTCCTCTTCATTTTGATTATTGCTGACTTCTGTGCTTTGTACTGTTTTGTTGTGCAATGTTGGATTTGTTGTGTATTTGCATTCTGTTTATTAATCTCTTTATATGATCATCAGTTTATAAATTCTCAAGGCATTCGTGATGCATGATCTGGTAAATGACTTGGCCTAAGCTGTATCTAACAATTTAGAAGGTTTTGAGTTTAAATTGTCATTCTTAAGTGGCTTGGAGGAGTTGCCTGAATCAATTGGCTTACTAAGGCATCTTTGTCAAAGTATCTAGAACAAAACTTAAGGGGTTATTATATCAATTATGTATACTTCAAAGATTTCAGTTGGTATGGTTCTGCTATGATTTCCACAAATGTAGAACTATTTACCTGACATTGGTTTGGTGAACTGTTTTTGAGGAATTTGAATGGATATGACATTTAATTGGTCTACTGTGTTAATCTAAAAGGCCTTGCCAAGTTTTGCCTATTTACTTGGTGTGAAGCTTTGGTTAACTGTCCTTAAACAATTTGAATGAAAATGTCCTTTAGCTGGTCTATTGTGTTAATGTTATTATCATCTTGCCAAGTTTCATCTGCTTGCTTAGTGTGAGGGTATTGTGTAAATGTCTGAAGTTTCTTACTTGTGAATGGGGTTGTATGATCTTTTGTGCATTGCAAATTATCAAATACTCTGAAACATATATTTAATCCTTTGAGGCCTACACAACCTGTGTAAGTTTAAGCTTGATGGAGAGTTGAAGACTTTGTTGGATAACTAGTACAAGTAAAGAGAGCACTAAAATGATGTTTGGGAAAAAACACAAAAGAAGGGAAAAAAGCCTCCTATCCTTATCCAGAGATGGGAGCTTCTCGTTATTAAACAGTTCTAAATGTTAATTATCATTCGTCATTTTTCATTTGATGTAGGGCAATATTTGTAATAGAGGAAGGAGAGAGTGAGAAGGAGGAGGAGGGAGATGTAGAACAAATGAGGGGGGGGGGGGAGGGAAGAAGGAATAAGAAGAGGAAAGTTGTAGAGCATTCAAAAATACATTATTGCCAAATCAAAGATTCTCTTTATTGGGCCCCTGCTTCTAAGGGCTTTATATAAAGCCCAAGAGATGACACCTAATAAATTTTAAAAATATAATACTAAATCGCAATCCTATCAATGGAATAACTATTAAAGCCTAAAAAAATGATAATTCATTTGATGAGTAATGCTATTTAAGATTTAAAAAAACAAGAAGTAAATAACATCAACTCTTATGTAACAAGTAATTAATATCAACTCTTGATTATTCTTCTCTTTCTCCACACACATTATCTTTAGCATTTCTCTTGCTCTTGTTGATTTATCATTTGTATGCATTTTTTTTTTTTATTTTAAGGGTAAAATAAGAAGTAGATGCCACTTTGTGTCTCAAGATTGCAAAGCTTTATGTTTTTATTATTTCTGTATATTAATTAAAAATTTCAATACAGTTTGTTGCCATGATTGTTTATTTTTGAAAACTAATTTTCAATGCTTTTTCAGAGATTTTATAGAAAATACACGAATGGAGTCATCCCAGAGTACTGTAACTACAGGAGTGAATGGTGGAAGTGGTGGCAATGGGATGTTGATCCCTCAAACAAATGATACATCGTCTCCTGCATCAGCTGCTGATAATTCTATGCAGAAGCTAAACCAGGTTATCAACTCCATTCAAAAGACCTTGGGCCTCATTCATCAGCTTTACCTAACTGTCTCTACCTATAATCCTGCCTTTCAAATGGCTCTCCTCCAACGCATGTACTGATCTACGAATTTTTTCCTTCTAATGCCATTTATCTTACTTTACTTATTTGAATACGGTTGAAAGAAGTTGTATTGATCATATTTTACTTCAATTTCAAGCAATGGTCTTGTTCTGGAACTTGACAATATGATCAAATTGGCCGAAAAGTGCAATATTCAGGTTCCTATGGAGGTTGTCAAGTGAGTTCTTTGCCTTTTAGTGTTCTCTCTTAGTTTATTTACATACTACTCTGAGGTTTCTATGATTCAACCTTGTTTATTACTTTGCTGCTGGATATAGTTTAATTGATGATGGCAAGAATCCGGATGAATTTACAAAGGATGTAATAATGAACTGCGTTGGGAAAAATCAAATCACCAAAGGAAAATCAGATGCTTTGAAGGTTGAATCTAATTCCTAATATCTATGGATTTAGATATCTTTCATTTTATATTTCATGCCCTCATATATAAGTTTATTTAGTCCAACTTAGATTTTGTGTTGGGAGCAGGGTTTACGCAAGCATCTTCTGGAAGAATTAGAGCAAAATTTCCCTGATGAGGTTGAAGCTTATAGGGAGAGTCGTGCAACTACTGCTGCTGTAAGTATAATTTTTTTCTGGCCATTTGTATTTCAATTGTAGAACAGAACATAACTGATATGGGTTCCTCTAGGAACTCAAGAAATACCAAGTAAAAAGACTTGAAAACGATAAAAATCTGATCAGCTGACACCCTAAAGGAACTTTTCTCTAGATTCTCAGCTATAAAAGGCATCACAAGAGTTGATCAAACCCTTGCTAAAAGAAAACTTCTTATTCATAACTTTGTAACATGATAATAATTGAATATGACTTGATCGTTATATAGGCAAAATTCCTAACCTTAATGGGACTAAAGATTAAAATTAATCTAAAAATATTCCAAGGATAATAACTTTGAGTTTATTCCCTAAACTTGGTCACTTGTCATACCATTACAAATGGTTAGTCCATTAATATGAGGAAATAGGAAAAAGGAGGGCGGGGTGGCTGAGACGTATCTTATTATTAATTCAACTTAGTGAATTTTTACTGTGAAACTAACTTTAAGTGTCTGAATTTCGGGGGAAAAACTGATGTCTTGGGACTAATTTGATCTGTCAAACTGAGCTGGTCCCTCCCTATCCTTTGACCTCACTATCAGCCAAATTAAACGATTCATGTAATAAAAATAAAACTTGAAATTCACAGGGTAATATTAGAGACTAAGAGCATACTTTGGTAAGCCTAAGAAAATATGCTCGTGCTGTGCTTTGTCCATAATAGGGAAAAGACTCCGTCTGTATAATATGTCAAACAAACCATGAGGCAATAAAGAATATACAGCTTAGCCTATATTTACAATTACTTCTACTACCTCAATTAAAACAGATTATCTACACCTCACCTGCAAGCATCACAAGTTGTTTCTCACCTAACCTCCTCTTGAAGCCACAATTTGTGTGGTTTACTCTCTGTCCAGCCGTTCAAGTATAGTGCAACACTAAAACAACTTATTTCTCACAGACAGAACTATCCAAAGCCTCCCACACTCTTCACTTTTTCCCACATCACTGACTTGACACTGGAGACAAATAACCCGTAATTTTGGGAAACGCTTAAAGAAATCTAAAACAATGTAGGAAGAAATCACTGGATTTCAGCCTCGGTCCTTGACTCAAAACAAAGTGAAGAAGCTCTTATCTGTATTAAGTGTTAATAGATGTGAACCTAGGGCAACATCAGTCCCTCTTGCTCTTTCTTTTCTCATGGTTTTGTGGTCTTGAGCTCTTCATGCTCTCTTCTTTTGACTCTCAGATCTTTTTCTCCAGAACCACACCGTTCAAATGAGCAAGTAATCTGTAAATACTGATTTCGTAAGCAAAACATAGCTTTTAACTAGTGAAACCTTCACCAGCAAGCTGCAAAACCAACAGCAACAAGGGCGCCCAACATAGAAAAATAAAACAGATGGCTGAAAAGAAATAGAGTGATTTAGAGTTTATGGACATCTGTTTGCAGGAGGGTTACCTGATTATATGAATGGTTGAAATCCATTTAAATGCACCGCATGCTGCTCACAGCTTAGGTGCAGAGTCTGAATCCGTTCTCCAGCTGAAACATGTTAATCAAATTTGTATCAAGCATCTGGTAAATATATGTAATACAAAGATCTCTCTCTAAAGGATTTGGTAACGTTATTTACCAATTGATCATTTGAGTTGACAAAACTCGTAATAGCTCAACTGGGCAAAATTTTCATTTTTCTTTATGAAATGACAATCAATCACAATACCTTGGTCCTTCTATGGAAAGTAAAGTTGGAGGCCATAATTAGTGTAGCTTTCATTATCAAAAATGAGCTTCATCGAGCTTGGGAATTTGTAACAAGTTTATTCAGCTCTGGACCAGCAGAGTTCCCCCCCCCCCCCCCCAAAAAAAAAAACAAAAAGTAAATATAAAGAAGGGCTGAAACGGATGATTATGTAATTGTTGGTTCCAAAGTGATGAACTCTGAGACTCCCAATCCCCTTTTGTCATGAATTTAGGGCTGTCTCAATTTTTCTGGCTGCAAGCTTTAATCGGGTGATGTTCAGTTGTATGTTTACTGGGGGCATTCAAATAATATTTTCACAGTACTTCATATCCTTGTTTGTAGACGGCTTTTCATTTCTATTCCAAGGGCAGTATCTTGAATCTGCATCCCTTGGGCATAATACCATGTATTTACTATTTCGTTGATTTGCTCCACGAAATGTGCTCTGTTTCTGTCTGGTTCCAATATAAATTTTTCCTAAATAGCTCTTGGAGATATTTACTTCTTTCAATTTAGTTTCTCCTACTATTTCCTAGTGTAATCGCGTAGTTAAATTGTTGAGTAACATGCTAGTTTCGTATCTTTTTATTGATTGTTGTACCTCATCATGTAACAAATCGTAATTAACATTGATTTCATCTTATTTTTCTGGCTTAAATTCACTTCTAGCCCCTCTAGTTTCCTAGATAATACGACCTGTTGTCCCAGGTAACAAACTGATTCTGTTATATCTTTTGAATTGAATCCCCCCCCCCTCTTCTTATATCTATCCAAAACTTACCGTGGAACACAGTTTATTAACTTGAATGTTGCTAGTGTGTTAACTCGCACTTAGATCTACTATTCAAGTGACCAGATTTTTTAGTTTGATTATATATACATGTGAACATGCATGAAATCTATATTTAAGAGGAATCAAGAGTTATTTGAGCCCATTTTTGTATATCACAGCATATACAATACGTGAGATGATTAATTCGGTTGGCAAATTGGATGCTTAGTTAGGGCCAAAGGGTTTTTTCCCCCCTTTTTTTTTCTTTTTTGGTGGTCAATAAAGTCTGAGAATTTAAATACAAAACTATGCCTCACGGTAAAACAAAAGGAAATATATCACTAAAGTTTTGAAGTTATGTATTGGCATCAATCTGATGTTTGTTGCTCTTATGCAGGAGATGAAACGTCTTGCACAGGCACAAAGTGCATTGCCTAACGGGGATGTGAGAGTTAAAACGGAGCATTAAAGTGATCTCAGCATTGTTATATCATTAGGTAATCCTTTGGTTATGTGTGTAGATGGTCCAGCCTTAGCCTATAAAGTAGTCCTTATAGTGAAGTTTTACCCGATCTCGTTGTTGAATCACAAGTTCTATTTTGTCAATTTGATGTCCCAAATAATCTCCTGTGGTTTTTATCTGCCGGTTCGTATTACTGGGATTATCCGTCTTTGTATTAGTTAAGATGGCAGCTTCAGATGATGTTTCCAAAGGCTAGAAATTACTATCTCCGTTGTTAATAAATGAACCAGTTGATAGTTGAATTTGATCTTAAATATAAAATTTTAATTCATTTTGTCTTTAAATTTATAATTGTCTTTCCAAAATATTTCTATTATCGTAAGAAGTTTTCACCAATGATATGCATATTATTAAAGATAGTAATTTATAAAAATTAACGTGTTTGTTATAAATAACTTATTAAACTAATTCTTTTAACATCTTTAAATTAGCTATTTGGGTATGTCATCTATAAAAATCAACATACGTTCAAATGTTATTTTTGTGAAATTTTTCCTTTTATTTTGGTATGAGAATTAGATTGAAATTCTGCAAATTAAAGGAAAATTTTATTTTAGTCACATATGATTAGATAAGAATTTTAAAGTTTGTTGAAATGATTATATTATTCTTACGTCATTTATGTCTATTTTGTGAAAGTATTTTGAAAATAAGTTGTCAATTACATTACTAAAATTATTAATACTATTTCATGACCTGTCAATTACGTTACAGAAGAAAAATTTTCCAATTTGTTATCCAATCTCTAATCTCTTAAAAGCTTCGTGATATGCAAGTGAATGCCAAATAATCATTTATACATTTAATTAGTGAGTGTATTAAATGGGAAAATTTTCAAGACTTCTTTAATATGATTCACAAATCATGTGATGTTATTAATAAATTTAGTAACATAATTAACATGTTTTCTATGAAGTTGTGAAAGTGAGATTTTTTTTTTTCAATTTCAATGATACGGTTAACAACTTTTGTAATGATATTAACAACTCTAATAATGCTATTCATTACGTGATACGATAGACCATGTTGACTTAGAGTGGTTTTTGAGTGCTTAATAAATTAGGAATTTTTGAACTTTTACAATGTGGTTGACAAGTCATGTAATAACATTAACAAGTTTGGTAATACAATTAACATGTTTTCTAGGAAATTGTGGAAGTGAGACTTTTTGAACTTGGATAACATGGTTGAAATTCTTGTAACAAAGTCATTCATCATATGATCTTAGAGGTATTTTAACTTTAAGAGATTTTTGAGTACCTAATAATTAAATTGGGAATTTTTCAACTTCTGTAATGTGAATGACAACTCATGTAATGGTGTTAATAAGTTCAAAAACGCAATTAACAACATTCTTTCAGATTATTTTCATAGCATAAGCATAAATGATATAAGAGCAATGTGTTCATTTTAACAAAGTTCAAAATTCCTATTTGGTCTTCATGTGTGACTAAAATAAATTTTTCCTTATTGAAGTGATTATCTAGGCTTTTCAAAATTTAAGTATCATTTTATTTTATTTTTTTTCTAATTAATACATTTTAGGAGAAAGAGGGAAAGGGAATAAAGTTCAGTTTTTTTGAAAAAAAAAATTATGATGGGATTTGACTATTTTGAGAAGCCTCTGCCTCTTCTTTATTCAAATACAAAATTCGAAATTTCAAAATATATAATCAATAGTTGAATACCTTCACTCTAATTATCTAAAATTACTACTTCAATCCCTATTATAAGTTGTTTGCAAAAGGAATTTTTATGTTTTAAAATATAAGTCACCTTGCAAGAAGTCAATATATAGTACTCCTCCGGTCCTTAATAGGACCCAATTATTGAGTTGGTTTGGTCCTAAATATAAGACCCATTTATCATATTTATCAATTTTCTCTAAATTACCCCTATAGATACTCCCTTAACCATAATCAAGTAGAAGAGGAAGAGGGGTATTAAAAAAGATGATTATGGTATTTTAGGAAAAATATGTCACATTTCTTATAAGTAACTAACTTACCTAATTTCCTTAATCTAATCAAATTAGTTAAATGGGTCTTATATTAAGGACCGGAGGAGTATTAAATTTTTTATTTTCACAAGTGCCCTTGTTGATTATATTGCACAGGGAAATCATATAAGAAAGAAATTAAAGGCAATTAAGATAGGTCAATTTTAATTGGAGGGTAATATTAAAAAATAAAAATAATTTTCTATTGTTTTAATGATACAAATTATTTTTAACTGTTTTTCTTAATCCTAATAAAATAGGAAAAGGATCTCTTCTCTATCCTTTCCTTCTCCTCCTCTGCCCCCTTTTTACCCTTCACTGCCAATAGATCAAAATCACAACGGTTCATATTTAATATTTTATAAAATAATTATTATTGTAATTTTACCTAAAAATATATAAATAAATTTAAACTATTAAAATTTAATCAGAATAATGGTTTGCCATTATAGTTAAAGTTCAAAATAATTGGAAAAAATATACTTTATAATAATATACATTACGAACTGTTAACAGATATTAAATTTTAAATTTTAAATTTATTTATGTAGTTTTAGTTAAAATTATTATAATATTTATTTTTATAAAATATTAAATTTAGACTGTCGAAACTTTGATTCAATAATGAAAAAAAGGGTAAAGGATAGGAAGGGTAGGAAGGGATCAAAGAATTATCCCCTCCGCTTAATGTAGATTTAGCATAGACATTGATTTTTTTTTTTTTGACCAGCAGACATTGATTAATATTATGAACAGCAGAATAGATATCCATGAAAATATTTTTTTTTAAAAAAAACTGAAAATCATGAAAGTAAATACTGCTCAATTTTTACCATTTAACCACAAAATAATTTCTATTTTTTACAAAAATAAATCGCTTGTTATAAAACCATGGCCTGCTTTTTCCCAATTTCTTAAGAATTCCAACGAATCTCATTCAATTCATATGAAGTCATTTGTCCTTCATCCAATAAATAAATCGGTCGATTTTGTGCTTAAGATTTTGATTTATACTAGTAGTTTTTAAGCCTTTGATATTTTAATGGATATATTTCCGACTTCAGAACGAAAAGCGTTTGAAAACTCGAAATGTTAGAGCTATAGACTCTTGGGACAAGACAAATAGGACATTACGCACCTGACATAATTTTTAGCTCTCATTATAGCAACACACATTTTGAAAAAAAAAAAAATTCAAATTGTTAGTCCAAGCACAGAAATTTTTCTGTTGTCAAATGATATATCATATATGGATCCTTTGACACCATAAAAATATGCTAGGATGGACTAAATTTTAGCTAAATAACCTTGAGCCTATAACAAATATCTAAAGCACCAGTATAGGCCTAAGCCTATATACACACACACACACACACACGTGTGTGTGCGCGCTTTTTTTAGGCATCAGTGTGAGCCTTCAAAAAGTCTGACAATGCCTGTAACCTGTTTAAAAACCTGCTTAAAATGTAGACTTTTAAAGAGGTTTAAAGATCTATATATCCAAGTTATAACCCTTTAAACTTATTTAAAAAGCATATATTATCACTTCAGAGCTTAGAATCCATTTTTACTTGTCAAATAAGAGTTTAGTAAGGGAAAACAAAAAGAATATATAATGACAACAATTATCTAACAAGTACGAATAAAAAAAAACAAATCATCTATTAATTAAAAAGATATATTTCAAAAATCAACTAAACATAACAAGTAGCATGTAAAAATGTATTTTACCTCAATTTTGCTGTAGAGCTTGTGGCAAACTCTTATTACTGAGGTTATAATATTTCATTTAAGCATCACTATAATAAACCTACAACACTTGTTACACTTTAGCGAATAACACAAATCAAGAAAGAGGGAGTGAGCTAGCATTGTGATCTTGAGCGAACAAAAAGAAAAGCGTAGAGGCGAATGACTAATGAACTTAAGGGTTGACAGAAAAAGATTATATTATATATTACTCTGCTCCTTATTATAAGTTACTTGTATTCTAAACCCGCAAACCAAAAAATACATTAAATTAATCAGTTTTTTTCCATATTTATCCTTATTAAAAGTTTTGAGAGAGAGAGAGACAGATAGGGAGGGGATAAATTGTATAGGAAATGAAAAATTGAGAGAGAGATGGGGAGGGAGATTAATTAATTTTTTATTAAACTAATAGGAGTAAAATTGGAAAAAAAATCATTAATTATACTATAAGTGACTTATATTTTGAAACAAACTTTTGGAGTACAAATGACTTATAATAAAAAACAAAATGGTATAATAGTGCAAATGGAAAAATAATAATAAAGATGTTACGTTTGTAGGTTTGTAAGCTAGGCCTTATGAAAATAGGCTTGTTTTGTTTGTCTTAAAATAAACCTGAATTTGAATCTGGCCTATTTAGTAAATAGGCGAAACTAGGCTTTAAGTGGGCTAGGCTGTAGGCTCTTGATAGGAGCCTAGCTTGCTTCCACCCCATCTAAAAGCTATCTAAATATACAAGAAAATACAAAATAAAGACTTATAAAACAGAAAACATAATTAGCTAAAATTCTAGAAAAACTATCCCCAACATAAAAGGCAATATGTTTTTTAAATAAGCAAATTGTTGTTAAAAAAAATTAAATTCGTATTCATAACATGAAAAAACACTGTATACAATATGGTTTTTAGATAAACAAAATTTTGCAATCGAAGGTGACTCTAAAAATCAAGAAATGATATGATGCCATCAATCTAAATTAAAACAAGGATATTGCAGCAAAATTGGAAAAAGTATTAAATAATATTCTTAACATATCCCCTTAAACTTATATATCTAAAATATCAAGTCCAATGGATTGTCCAAGATAATAAAATTTAATAGATAATCCGAATGATTTAATTGAAAATTCTCCAAATATAAAAAATTCCGAATTAAATAAATAAAACACAAAATAAACTAAGTAGTCACTACAAATAGCTCTTAAGTGTTCTCTTAGTTCTTGGTGAGCCCCCTTATCACATAAATGTCCTGCAGATAGGATCTTGAACTTCATTATGAAAAAAGGCAGCTCAATGCTTATTACCAGGCGCAGTCTAGAGAATTATAGATATATATTCAACTTACCTGACAACGAGAAAGTCACATATCAGCAACTTTATCGTTGTTGCAAGCTGATATATCCTCTCAGTTGCCAAGTGCACTTTTTACTCCTCTAATCCTATTTACAAGTTACTTCTAATATATTTTACACAGACTAATAAAAATCTTCAACTTTATTAATCTCATTTAAAATTTAACA